CGGGGGGCGGGGAGAGAGTGTGAACGGGGGAGGGGGGGGAGAGAGAGAGAGGGAGAGCGGGGGTGGGAATTGTATAAGTTAAGCTATCCTAAAGCTGAGATTTGGACCGGGTTCTGATTAGTTTCTGTCTCGAGGGGTAAAATGGAAAGGCGGCCACGCGGTCACCCCGCGCTCTCCGGGAAGACGAAGCCGGTGCGGCTCGGACGGGGTCGCGGTCAGGCTCGGGCGCGGTCGCGGTCCCGGTCGGGTCGGACCCGAGCCTGTGCGTTCAAGGGCTCAAGGCCCACTTTGAAAGAGGCCCACTCACCGTCCCAGATTTTTGGCTGATCCACATCGCTCTAGGCTCCGGCTCTCGCCGCCGGCCTCCCCTACTCCGCTTCCCGCCGGCAGGAGCGACTCCTTCTGCCGCTTTCCTCGGCCCGTGCTTCGGCGATGCCGGCGACGGAGGAGGAAGGCGCGGCGGCGGCGGCGGTGGCGGAGGAGGAGGCGTACGAGCAGGAGGACGGGGACGGGGAGGAGTACGACGAGGATGAGGAGGAGGGGTACGAGTTCGGCGACGCGGCGGACGCGGCGCAGTGCGTGGAGATGGCGGAGCGGGGGCCCGGCGGCGCCGTGGCCACCGTCAGCATCCGGGACTTCGAGGCCCTGGCGGCGCTGTCGCGCAAGCGGAAGGCCCTCCCCGCCGAGGAGCCGCCGCAAGGGGACGAGGCCTCGAAGCGGAGGAGGCAGCAGGGCGAGCTCTCCGAGGCGGAGTCGGCGAACCTCTTCGACCAGCTGATGGAGGGGTTCGGCCTCCGGCGGAAGAAGCGGCGGCGGTCCAAGGACGGCAAGAGGAAGGGGCGGGCGAGAGGGCGGAGGAGCCGGTGCAGCCCCGAGGTCATCAAGAAGCTGGGCGACGCCACCCTGCTCTTCACCGAGAACAGGTTCAAGGAGGCCATCCCCATCCTGCACGAGATCGTCCGGATCGCGCCCAACCTGCCCAACTCGTACAACCTGCTCGGCAGCATCTACAAGGAGAATGGCGAGATCGACAAGGCCGTCAACTTCGTGATGCTGGCCGCCTACGTCTCGCCCAAGGACGTGTCGCTGTGGAAGAAGCTCATCGACCTGGCTCTGAAGAAGGAAGACGCTGCTCTGGCAAGGCACTGTGTTATCAAGGCAATGAGGGCTGATCCGGAGGATGTGGGGCTCAAGTTTGATTGCGCGAACATATATCGCACCCTCGGTGACTGCCACAAGGCCGCGGAGATATACGAGCAGATTGTCGGGATTCATCCCTCCAACACCGTCGCCCGTAGAGCGGCGGCGCAGATGTACAGAGACTCTGGTCAAATTGATAAGGCTATTGATTTGTTGGAGGATTTTATCAATGCTCAAACTTCAAACATCGACTGGGGTCTTCTTGATTTACTGATATCCCTTCGTCTGAGAAATGATGCCCATGGTGAAGCTCTTAGGCAGATCAAGAAGGCGCAACTGGTGTTGGGATCCGGACACAAATTACCAGTACGGTTGCAAGCAAAAGCAGTAATCTGCCATGCTTATCTTGGAGATCTGAAACATGCTGAGGTGTTCCTTCAGAGTGTGCATCTGGGGCGTTCAAAAGAGAATGCTGATATGGTTAAGGAGGTCGCTAGCACTCTTCAAAGTTTGGGGCAGTATGAGTATGCACTAAAATTTTACTCCATGATGGAAGACGTTGCTGTTCATAATGATGGTGGCTCGTATGTGGAAGCTGCTCGATGCTACATGGTCATGGGGGACAAAGGAAAAGCTATTCCTTACCTCTATAAAGCTTTAGAAGGGATGGAGGACAATGTCGATGTACGGATAACCTTATCTTCTCTTCTAGTCGATGAGAATAAGAGTGATGAGGCTATCAAACTGCTTTCTCCTCCTGAGAATACAGAGTTGCAGTCCGCTGATATCCCAGATCATCAGAAACCTTGGTGGCTTGATGGGGAAGTAAGAATGCAGCTTGCCAAACTTTATTACAACAAAGGAATGATGGAGAAATTTGTGGAAACCATTTTTCTTCCCATTCTCGAGACACTGGATATCGAGTATGCTAATAGAAAGGTCAAGATGAATAGAAAGCTTACAAATGATGTTCTGCAGGAAAGAACTAAAGTGCTGGGGGAAGCACGTCAAGACAGCGTATTTCAAGGATGCAGGCCTATAGCATCGACTGCAGAGTTAGTCAAGGCAAACAGAGCAAGGAAATTGCTAGAAAAAAGGGCAGCAGAGTCAAATGAAGACACAATAAGAGATGATACACGTAGAGCAAAGCAGAAACCTCCTCTTCCTGGTCTGCTGACAAATGTGGAGAACCATCAGCTTGTGTTAGATCTCTGTCGAACGCTGGCTCTGCTTCAGCGATACTTTGAGGCGCTGCAAATTATCAATCATGCTCTTAGACTTGGAAATGATCCCCTCTCTGATGACATCAAGGAGGAACTACGGTCCTTGGGCGCTGAAATAGCATACAGAGCTCCAGATCCCAGCCCTGGCTTTGATTATGTCCGTTATGTAGTTCACAAGCACCCGCAATCCATCTCCGCATGGAACTCCTACTACAAGGTGACATCAAGAACAGAAGAGAAAGGTCATTTTAAGTTTCTTCTTCGGGCAAGAAGGGATCCCAAGTGTGTGCCTCCTAAAATCATATCTGGGCATCGGTTTACTGCTATCAGTCAACACCAGTCCGCTGTTCGGGATTATCTGGAGGCGTACAAGCTGGACCCGGAGAATCCTCTAATCAATCTCTGCGTTGGTTCGTCCTTGATCAACCTCTCCCTGGGCTTCAGGCTTCAGAACAAGAACCAGTGCATCGTCCAGGCATTCGCGTTCCTCTACAAGTGCCTGCGCATCGGCAGCAACAGGCAGGAGGCCCTGTACAACATCGCCCGGGCGTACCACCATGTCGGCCTCAAAACCCTGGCGGTCATCTACTACGAGAAGGTTTTAGCCATGGAGGTGGAAGATCACCCCATACCCAAGCTTCCATTCGAGGAGGATTTACAGGAGCACCAGGATTTCAGGCCTGGCTACTGCGATCTCCGAAGAGAGGCTGCGTTCAATCTGCATCTGATCTACAAGGAAAGCGGAGCAACTGATCTGGCGAGGAGGATCCTCAAGACCTACTGTTCTATTTAGGAATTGGTTGTTTATCTATACTATATACAAGTACTTGGCCCTGTCTATGTGGTTGCTGCTGCTCAGCATTTCCATATAATCGTGAAGGCAGGCGATTTTTCATAGTGGAGTCCAAAAGAGATTCTAGACTTTGAAATGGTTCTCCTCCCAGGTTTTGTCACACTGGTTTCGGAATGATAATATGTCTGTTTCTTCCAATTTGATCATGAAACAAAATGGATGCAAATCATTTACTGTACAACATAAAGTACATGAAAAGAACTGCCTAAAACAAAAACACTAGCTGCAAGCTAGTAACATGATACAAAAGACAAAACAAACTAAGCCTTCACTGAACTTTATTTATCGAGACATATATAGGGTGGCTGATAAACCTCTACCACCAGGTGGTGGCATCAGAGTTTGTTCGAGTATCGGTAAACTTACAGCAGTATCATTACCCATCAGACAGTACATTTATTGAAACAGCATTGTCTAGAGCGTCGTAAACTGCTCAAAAATAAAATGCAGATGCAGTGCGGTGTCTCAGCGATTCAGTGTCAAGATTGGCAGTTTACAACAAGGGTCATCAAGCTAGTAGTGGTTAGACCAATCAGCAGCACTACCGACGCGAGGGATCCCCGAGTCCTTCTTGGCCTCGCTGTCGACCTTGAAGGTGGAGCCGCACATCTGGCCCTGGCTGTCCACATGTGGCACGGCCTTCAGCTCGTTCAGCGGGTGCTCGAAGCTCTGCAGCCCTCCAGATGTGGTGTAGAAGCAGCCTGATGATCAACGAAAATGTAGTGTCAAGATGATGAGTACCTCACCCGAATTATAGGGATACAAACAAAGATGACATGGGTGAACTGTGGCAACGCTGCTCTTTGTGGTGTACCTTTGGGGAATGGCGCAAATGAGTTTCCACAGCCTGCCTTGAGAAGCTCATTGTCGTCAGAGAACACAAGGTGGTCTTCAGAGTCGACGCCCCAGAAGAAGGGGATACTGCCATCAGCATCCTGTTCAAGAAAAGCGGTTGCAACTCAAAACCATATTCAACTACAGGTTAAGAATTTACATCCTTTCAGAAGAGAGATGATCTACTCACAGCAGCGACGAAGGTGGATTTCGACACGGTGTCGTACAGGATGAAAGCGAACCTTCCACTGAGATCTCTCACGACCTGGCTGGCTGGGAGCGGGCCCCTGTCCCGGAGGGTTCTGTAGGCCTCAATCAGGATGGTAACCTCATTTGCTGTCTTGCTCAGACCATAGTGTTGCTTCAGGTTGCCAATGTTCTCAACATGCCCTTGGAACAGGCAAAATATGTCGTTCACAGAACCAAACATCCTGGATACGAGCGCAAAGACAAAAACCGGAGTCAGGTTAACATATTTCAAGTAATCAGATAGGAAAATAATTCTCAGGAGCACTAGTCGGTTAGAAAAAAAAATCCACGTTACTGCTATTTGTTGGAATTACCACATGCCTAAATAGACACACTATCATGTGAAACATTTTCTTCAAAAGCAACAAAACGATGTTACTTGAGTCACATCAATGTTCATTATGCTATTCAAGTTGGCAGCCCAATACTCCTAATAGGTTTGACAAGTATGTTGTCAGCAAACATGATCTTTAAGTAAAAATTTATCGCAAAAAAGAATAAGTAAAAGTTGCTTCCTATCGAAAGAAAAATTGATCTTCACTTGTGACTTTTTTTTTGCTATCATCTTCACTTATGAGTTAGTTTATAATGGGGGGCAGCTCCCGAGTGGTATGCGCGTTCGTTGCACGTGACATGTTGCTATCGAATAAAAAAGAGCAATAGTCACCACCATCACCGGTGGGCTGGCTGACAAGGAACAATTGATTAATTAACGAGTATCAAGGTAAGATGGACATGTGCATTGTATCAGAAACTTCAATGTTACTTCCCTTCTTCATGACGAATCTTTGGACACGGACGCAAAACATAGTGTAGGGAAAAAATATGGCATATTATATATCTATACATAAAGGGTTCAGGCAAGACTCCAGCTCCTCACATCACGAGATTTGTTTGAATCTCTTCACGCTGGATCAAAATCATCGGTGTTGGATAACATGATTGGACCCAGGATACCAGTGTGAAGTTTCAACTTTGAACAGCAGGAATCAAGACAAGAAAATCAGTCTCAACAGCTCAAATGGTAAGCTGGATCTTGACTGTTTAAACGCTAATGGTAATGGTAATATGGACAGGATCTGAACATACTCGTCATAATGGTGATGTCACGTAACTTATGTTGCAGATCTGATGGAGAGTCTGGCCTAGAATTCACGCTGCGGAGCCCCCCAACTATAGACCAGAAATCGCCGGAAAGCTCCACCAAAACCAGCACGGCACTGAAAGCTACGTCTCTAGCTGGGCTGGCCCGGAGAAACCAGACGAGAAAGGGAGATCTCCGCAGGCTCCAAACGGGAACCTCCAACAAAGTCCCGGCGAAGCGATCGCGTCGCCGGATCAAGCGCCGTGAAGGCGTGAACACGGCGCAGCTTTCGCGTCACCCGACAGCACTGCAAGCGCCGGCTTACTCGTAGTATTGTACAGTATTATTGAGCAAGGCTGGCGGATAACGGAGCCGTACCTGGGGACGAGGGGGTTCTTGTTGGCCGAGGAGTAGGCGAGGGCGCCGGCGGCGCCGAGGCTGACGGTGACCGCGGCGTCGTTGGCGTCGGCGAAGCCCTTCATGAGCGCGGCCGCGCCTCCGCCCCCTCCTGCCGCCGTACCCCCTCCCCCGGCCGCCGGCGGGCTGCGGAGGCCCTCCGGGCACTTGGCCACCGTCTGGTCGAACACGGCCAGCATCTCGGCGCGGCGGTGGTGGTCACCTCTCCGATCTCTCTCCCCTCTCTCCTCTCTTTCCGTGTGCTGTCCCCGTCTGCTTTGTCTGCGTGCTGCGGTGTGATCTCTCGGCGACGCTGAATGGCCACCGCAAGTCAACAGATATAGGGGGCTCGGTTTCCCGTTTTGCCCCTTGGTCGGTCGGTTGGTGGGAGATTCCCAGGGCTTTTCTTGTGGCCGCCAATGGTTTTCTGTATCCTGCTGTTGGTCTCTACTACGTGGATCGTAAATAAACCGTAGAAAATCCAGGAAAAATCGCAGAGAATGCAAAAATGTGGGCCGTTTCTGGTTGTATCCGAGGGTAGTTTGGTAACTTGGGTAAATAATAACCGGTCCTAGTCCCAGAGGTCTTATCCGGTTTTTTTCTGGTTGATTGATTTTTTTTTAACATAGAAAGGCGCACAAAGCGTCAACCAATACATTCAGCTCAGTAACATCTTACAGCGTGAATTACATAGCCCTGGAAATTGAAATTAGACAGGAGAGAAACAACAGGGCATATCATGTTTGTATGAGCTGAAGCAAAACAACTAGTGTCAGGTTCTGGTAAACTTCTAAGAACCTGATGAGCCACATTATGAGAAATACCATTGATCTCTCTTGATATGTGATACACCTGTGCTTGGAGATCATTTGTAAAGGAGAAAAAATCAGCTAGAGAAGTTCTGATGGTCCAAGGGGTGGAATCTGCCAATACACTTCTTGCCGCCGCTGCTTTTGCCAAAGAGAGGCAATCAGTAAGAAAAGTAGGCCTAGAGATCTGAAGTCTACGGGCGACTTGAGCTGCAAAAAGCAAAGCAAGAGCTTCTGCTTGAAGTGGCGAGCTGGTGTTCTGGGTAGAAGCTTGAATTTGCACATTCACTTCCGCTTGGTCCTGAGAAAAACTGAGAAACACTCCTACTCCTGTAGCTGTTGTGCCATGTGGTAATCCTGGAACCTTTGCACATTTAAAAGCAGCATCAGAATAAATTTTTACTCCAGATATAAGAAGATCAGATTTGAGAGTGTGCCCTTGAGCAGGAATAACACAACTATTTCCTTGCTGATGAACTTGATCAATAGCTTGTCCCTGATTAGAAGAAATTGACACAGTCATATATTGGTCAGACAAAACTTTTGCAGCAGTGTGAACATGATGAGGTTGAGAATTGCGTCTGTCAAAAAGCTTATCATTTCTGGCTTTCCATATGCACCACATAAAATTTAGTATGTTAGATATAGATGCATGAGGATGATTCATATTTAGTCAACTGAGAATAATACTGTGCATAGAGAAATGATTTTGAACCAAGCCATCAGATCTAATATACCAAGGGTGGCCAAACCAGGCTGCTCTAGCAAAATCGCAAAAAAAAAAGATGCATTTCATTTTCATCCTCACCACACCTGCAACATGATTTAGAAATGTGAATTGAAAAGCGGCCCGCTCGCAAACCTGTAGGAAGAGCTTTTCGAAGAAGTCTCCATGCGAAAGTTTGGACACGGGGTGCAATCAACTTTTGCTTCCAAACCTGAGTGAGAAGATTTTTAACCTGCAAAGATAGTTGAGAGGGAGTATTCCTGGGAATGCTTTGAATATCCTGCAAGCACAATTTATAAGTGGATTTAGAAGTGCATTTGCCACTCAGAGTGAGGTCCCAACAGAGAATATCTGGGCAGTCATCCTGAATGATGGAGGTTTGAGTAATAGAAGTAGCCATAGGCTCTTGGAAAAGAGAATGAATAAGATTGTTGTTCCAAGTTTTTTGCCCAGGAATCCATAGATCCTTAACCTGAGCAGGATAAATAAAGCCAGGTGGCTGAATGATGAGATGATTATGAATAGTGGACCAGGAAGAACACCATGGGGAACTCCAGAGGGCAATATTCCCCTGAGTAATTTGGTAGAAAGAGTGGGCTTTTAACTTGGGAAGCATTTTGAGAATGGAAGACCAATAAGCAGATTTTGGAACAGTGGAAGTAGCAGTCCAAATGGAAGAGTTCGGAAAGTATTTGGATTTGAGCACAAGGTACAAATAAGAGTTAGGAGCATCTGCAAGTCTCCAAGCTGAAGCAAGAATAAGGCCTTCATTAATGGCTTGGAGGTTTCTAATACCTAGCCCTCCTTCATTCTTAGCTGTACAAATGTCCTTCCAAGCTTT